TAAGGCAGACTTTCTCTGTATAGTCCTGGCTATCTTCAAACTCACTCTTGTGGACCAGGCAGGCCTAGAACTCCGAGATCTACCTGCTTCTGCCTCCCAAATGCTGGGACTAAAGGCATGTGCCGCCACGCCTGGCCACAAGAAAGTAGACTTTCAAGGAACCAACTGTAATTAAAAAGGTAAATAAAAGATCTTGTTATTAAAACTTAGACGAGCTTGTCAATTCTGACAGATGGACAGGAAAAATATTTAGAAAGTATATGTCTTAGCATTTCCATTGCTGTGAAGACATGCTATGACCAAGGCAATTCTTATAAAGGCAAACAATTTAATTGGGTCTGGCTTACAGGTTCAGAGGTTCAGTCTGTTATCATCATGGTGGGATCCAGGCAGATATGGCGCTGGAGGAGCTCAGAGTTCTACATCTTGTTCCAAAGACAAACAGAAGACTGGCTTCCAGGCAGCTAGGAGGAGGGTTTCAAAGCCTACCCCTACAGTGACACACTTCCTCCAACAAGGCCATATCTCCTAATAGGGCCACTCCGTCGGCCATGCATTTTCAAACCATCACAGTATGCATTTAAACAATGCCATCCAGGATATATATTTAAGGAAGCAAGGTGGGGCTGGTTGATGAGCTAGAGTCCTGAATGGATCTTAACAGTCCCAGGTAAAAGTGAGACTACTTAAACTTTCACCTGAGCAACAGCCGGACTTGAGAAGGGCTGCTGCTGTTTTCCTCCTCTGCTATGTCAGCAGCTAGAATGCTTCGCATAGAAGCACACATTAGTTAAAACTTCTAGATACAGCAGTTGAAAAAGGGCACTGGAAATTCAGCCTGAGCCCCAAAACTCCAGAATACGTATTTGATACTAGAGATCAAAGAAGAAAGTAAAGTGTTTATTTTTACTAACATGTCTGGAAGCAATGCTGATTTGTATAGAAGAGGGTCTACAAACAAGGCAAAGAAGTGCAAGGGCCTTAAGGAAGGATATGGGATTTACCTGCAACTCATGGGATCTGACAGATGAGTATGGTAGTGAAGAAAATGAATGAGTTAAAATGATTCTAGAAATTTCCAAACTGAGAACCAGAAGAATGGTGGATTTACTGTGTCAGAAAAGGAGAGCAGGTGGATGAATAGTAAGCTCTAGTTCAGGGAAAGAAAGCTCCATTTTAAGGCATATTAAACAAGACTCTGATGATGAATCAACACAGCAACGTTTGGTACAGGGAAATTTAGCCCAGGTTCAGAAATGAGCCGGGATGAGGGGATAGTGCTTTGCCCTGCCTGCTTTCCATCAGCACCAGAGGGGGGACTTCAGCACAGTGTTTATCATCACAAAGCTGTACACACTGAATGGGGGGTGACAGCTTGGAAAATCTTTAACTATTTAAAACAAAGCAGGTGAAATAACTGTTGTAGGACACCAACCCAGACAGATGAGAGAGGGAGGGGGAGGAGAAGGGGGGAGAGGGAAGGAAAGAGATGAACAAAGATGGGGGAAGCTTTTACAGGAAGCTAAGGGAGGTGCGTAAGCTACCCAGTTCCTCCAGATCCTTTTCCGACTCTGTAATTCTTTCTGTACACAGATCAAATAATTTCAAAAGAAGTATGAAACGGGACTCAAATTCTTGCACAAAGGCAACTGAGAACTTGCAAACCTTACAAATGGCAAGAAACCAGAGTGGGGAAAGGTTTCACAGAAAGTACAAAAAGATACATTGTTCTAACCTTAAATCTACTGCCAAGACTTTAACTCTATTTAGAGCCTGTGAGCCTACAGCTACTTATGTTTTCATACTCAAACAGGGAAAAACACCAACATGAGTTTAGCAGTCTGGTAAGAAGCATAGAAGTACATTTAAGGAGAGAATTATTGCTTGTCTAGAAAGAAATCAGAAGGTAACATTGAACCATGGTTATCACTCAGGTAGCAAATGTAAGAGAGTTTAAGTTTGACACTAGGCTGTGGTACACATTAAGACCCCATCTTTAAAAACAAAAGTAACAACAAATTAAAAAAAAAACCAAATATATAATAAACAAACATAAACAGAGTTAGTTTGAACTAAGAGCAAACTGCAACATGGCATGTGAACTCAATGCTTTCCTTGGTGTTTCCAGCCAAGAACAATGTGCACGCAAGCAGCCAGAAGCACAAACTCCACATGGTGACTGACTGTGGTTCTCCTCATGGAGCTGAGCTGATACTAAACCAAATTCATTTGCATAGGCCAGACTCCAGGCCCAATTGGTTGGCTTATACTACGTTTTCCAGAAACTACACTGAAGCTTTGATTAATAAACGGGAATTAGTTGATAAAATGTGAATGACAGCAATATAAGGGAAAGCAGAGGCAAACTGGTGGAGTGGGGCACTGATCTGAGGGGTCAGTATCTCAGAGTTGGTCCATAGAGCTCTCAGTTCTTATGGACCAAGGGCACAAATGCTACTGAGAGTGCCAGTGTATGAGGAAAACACGCCTCTATTTTATTGTTTTGGCATTATTTAGTATTTTTTTTTAAAATTCTATTAATTTTCCAGAGAAAAATAGCATGTTATTTTGCTGAATGTTGTCTCGTTTGAATGCTTTAGTACTGAAAGTACATGCTATTGATCAACACAGCTCTTTATATACAAGACATACCTTGTAATTGTTGCCAACTCTTCAAGGAGGACCAGTCACACTAACCTGGAGCTTCTACACGATGGAACAGGAAACTGGGTGATTGCAAAGTCAACCTGCTTTCCTGCTGCTTGGCCTGTCTCTCTTACTTTGTATTAACGCTCTGGACATGATTGCCTCTGGCTGGATAATTTGTGAACTTCTGAATGTCCAGTCTCCAATCCTAGACTGGCTCTTTTCCTTAGGTAGTACTATCAAACTCGGTGAGCATCCAGGACAGTGCTTCCCACAGCCCGGAATAGCAGTGCAAAGCATGTGCGGTGCTGAGCAAATGACTGTGTTGGGAAGGCATGGCTGAAAGCAACAGCTCCGGTTTTCATTGATTTTGTGAGGCTGAGCGACTTCATCATCCCTCACCACCAGAATAACCTCGCAGTGCTTACACTTATTGAAAGGCTTGGCGTGTGCCTGGCACTCAGGAATTGTAAGCATCTTTCTGTAGCTCCAAGTACGTTTGCTCTTTACCAGAATTTGACAGTGTTAAAATGTTAAAAGGCCTTTTACACAGCCACTTTACTATCTTCTTTTTATGGCACTCTGATAGAGAAGAAGGACACACAAATGGATCTTTTTCAACACGTAGCCAGTGTTTCTTAGCTCCATCCATATTTATCAGTTTGCCTCATGATGGATGCTCCCCGTTCAAACCCAGTCACCCTGCTTCCCAGACACATCTTTAACCTTAGATCCAGACATACCGTGATGTCTTTACAGCTTCCCATCTTTCTACAGCCTACTGCTGAATTGTTATAGTTGCTTCCACACACCAGGTATTTATTATATTATTGCATGCATTGCTTCACTTAATTTTCAGTACCATGAAAGAAAGCCATTCTACACTATCGCTTACGAAGAATATGTATGTCGATTCTTTTCTCTACACTCTTATGATGTGAGCTGTCTTGCAGTTCTTTGCATAATTACTGTGTAAAGGAAGATTCTACACATGATAGCAGTTTACAGTTCCATTTGTATTTCATCTTTTTAAGCTGCCATCATGCTTACTTCCATCAAACCTATCACTCTTTCAGACTGTATAGTAATGTCAAAGAGTTCATCTACATTCTGCAGATACTTCCCAGGCCCTGAGTCTATCATATATACTGAGTATACAGTAACGACTCTGCACTCTGAGAGTCTATGA